ACAAAACATGTACATGAACATTCTTCTTCAAATTATTCGCATCGAAACTTTCGATTAGACAAATGTGAAAATACTAAAAGTGAGAAAAATATCGCGATGTGAACAAACAGCTCTAAGCTTAGTCTATTAGTTACCTATAATTCCTTTTACTCTTAGAAAGTTACATTATACAGAGGCAGGCATAGGCTACTTTTTATGCCGATAGCCCTGCAGCTATTTTAATGAATTTTCATATGCACCACTCTAGACTATGATTCCATAGATCATAATATTGGAAAATAATGCATGATGAAACATTAATAAAGTTTTTACTTCAAATATATTTCTCAGAAGTCTGAGATTATAAAGACATTTTCCTATTTTTTCTGTAAATTCAAGTGAATGTTTTTTCCACTTCAGGCAACAATCTATATAAATTCCTAAATATTTCATTTCCGGGGTTCTATTTAATTTGAGAGTGCAATTGCATTTTCGAAAATGTTTCTCTAAATATTCTGAACCGTGAATTTTGATTTCATCAAATATTGGTTGATATTTTTCACTACATGAAAATGTAATGAATTTGGTTTTTGTGATATCAAGTGTGAACAAATCATAACTCAAGTTGTGTTTCAAAATTGACATGTCAACTTCAGCCTTTGATATGATCTCATCCCATCATATTAAGTTTGAATTATGAAAAGTCTTCTTTAATGTTAATGACTAAGAATAAAATCACAAACAAAAGGAATTTGGCTTTCAACAACAAAATTATTAAATATTGTCAAAATATAATATTAGATTAGATTAGATTTTTTATTGGTCAAGTTATTACACCTTAGTGCTATGCAAGTCAATAATNATTTAATTTCAATTTGGGGAACAGCTAATTTATCAATAATAAATCATCTCAAGAGACTGCAAAATGAAATAATAAAATTTATATTCAGATTACCATATCTTGAACCTACGTCAAATTTATATATACCACGTGCAAGGGTAAAATTCCTTGTAGATGGCAGGAAAACTTACTGGCAGGCCAAACGGGCCATTATCAGGAAGAACTTTCTCAAGGCCTGTAAGACCAGAGAAAGTTCTGATAAAAGAGGAAAAACATCAGGCTACTGCTAGTACCAGCGGTGGAGCCTCACCCAAGACTTCCTCAAGCACTAAAGGAAAGACCATCGTTAAACCAGGCCTAACGCCAGCCCAGAAACGGACAAGATCTGGAACCAACATGCCACAAGCAGAAATTCGAACAAAGATTGACAATCTATGATTTTTTTTGAGTAACTAGTTTATTCTTCACCAATATTGTATGTAACTTTTGTAATATGTATTTGTATATTTTTTCAGTGTGTTTTTCGGGTGGAAGGTACGTCCGAGAAAATCGCCATTACGGATGATGACTATTCAGGGGTCCAGCTGGACTCAGAAAAATTGAACGCCGTGAAGGTTTTCCAATTCGTTCAGGACAATCTCAAATCACCTACACCGTAGGTTCATGGACTGACACCTATCAGAAAACAACTACTCCCCTGACTAATACCACTAAGAACATTGGATTATATCCGACAAATGTCAGTGAAGGATTGTTCACTGAAGTTATTCCTGCACATGCTGTTGGCGATACAACTTCCGCAATTGATTTTCAATTATTGGAACACACTTGCAGACCGGTTTCAGTTTCGGGCTGTTTGGCCACTCGTCAGTGCAACGTAGTGTTTATCATCAACATAAAGTCGATGATTTCCGATAATTGAAAATCGAATTACTTCAGAGTATTATTCCTCGAACTAGGCTGAAGCGAATGACAAACAATATGTTTGCTATCGCCCCATCTGCCTGTGAACGAGATAACTGGCCTGAACAAATTTTTCTTTTAGATGATTTGATTTACAGCCAGTCTCCAAGTATGCCCACTCAATTTGTAAAATTTGAAGATGAATTTGTACACAAACAAGATCGAGATAAGTTATTCTTAGTGATAGATGGATGGAAATGAACTTCACCTCTGAGATTTCCAGGACGTTTCAGGGGATGGATATAGAGTTTGAGATTGTTAAAATTCCTATTAATGGAAATTAAGTTTGTATTCCAACAAGACTTGAGATATGTTTTTCTCGATGATCAATTGAACAAGGTGCACTTCACCACTGAGTTTTCCAGACCATCTGAGGGGGTGGAAATAAGATGAAAATATTGAAATTTATTTTCGGAAAATCAAATATGGACACCTACAAAATTGAGATGTTATCTTTGGTGATGAATTGAAGAAGACCAACGTTACCTTTGAATTTTCCAGACCGTCTAAGTGTAAATTGGGAAAAATAATGAAAACAATTTTCTCATTACCAAGTGATTTTGTACACCTATAAGAAATCTATCATTATTATTTTCCAAATTTTCCAGGCTGTCTGGGACTGTAGGGAAATAAATTCATATTATTGAGAATTGAAAGTGTACACCTATAAGATTGAGGGGTAAGTATATTATTCCTGATTATTAATTCAACAAGATCAACATCATGTCCGAGTTTTCTAGGCCGTCTGAATGGGAGAAAGTGGGGTGAAAACATAAAAAATCACATCATATCATAATCCAGGTCGTCCGAGAAGATGGAAATCGTCGTAAGACATTTTTTCACTTTTTAACTCCATTTCCACCCCACTACCCTCTACCCAAATGTTCTAGAAAACTCACTTCACTTTTAAATTATCCCGTATCAATATAGATGACTTGCAAGCCATTAAAAGAGTGGAGTTATAGATGAATTTTCGAAAAAATATTTAGCTAACTTCATATTATCAGAAAGTGATAAAAACACTCCTATGAACATCATCTATCAATATGAATCAGTTGCAATCGTTTTCTAGATGTCATAGGTCCTGGCATAAAAAAAATACAAAACAATCTTTTGCATTATTATTCAGGATAACACATAACAATACATTGATTATTAAAATGTTCATAACATAATTTTATATAACAAAAAATGGATAACTTAAAACAGTAGTATGTACATTGAAACCATAGTGATTCAATCATAACATTTTGAATATTTTCAAGAATGAAATGAATCTAGAATTGTATTCTGTGATCTGTAGATTTGGAAATTTTACTGGAAAATGATTTGAACGATATAACATTTCCCATAACCAAAACTCGAAGGGTATTTGTTAAATATCTACTGACCCTGACTTGAGTAACAAATAAGAAAAAGGACTTTAGTTCTGGTGTGCGAAAAAAATGTTTTTGTTAGATAAATATTCATAACAAAAAGTTATTTTAGTGAAGTTGAACCCATGTTGAGATATGAAACACTTAGTAATAATAATGTAGGAACAAATAAAAAACAAAATAAACTGTTTGTTTTGGTTGGTTTCCGGGTTTTGCCGTGGTCTTGTTTTGTTATAATCTCCAAACGTTTCAACTGCAACTGCGGCAGTCATCTTCAGTGGCGTGGTCGAAGTACTTTTCTTGACTTGTCAAGTGAAACATCAATAAGAGTACTTCGATCACACCACTGAAGATGACAGCCGCATATGCAGTTGAAACGTTTGGAGTTTATAACCAAAAAAGACCACAGCAAAAAACGGAAATCAACCAAAACATTGACGCCAGCCGTGAAAGCCTGCATTCCTATAAAAAAAACTTTCACAAATGTTAGAAAAAACAAATGAATCATCTACCAAGTACTTACATTGAATATTAGAAAAATGAGAGTCTAATAGGAACTCACATACAATAAATATATTAAAACCCTATTTAAACCCATTTCTCATTTTACTGCTTATTAAAAATCCCAAAATTTATTTCCTGTGCAGTTATTAGATATTTCCGTATATGAGTTGAGCGGTGACACAACCTATGATAATCTCACAATAAAGTGTTACTTGAATAAGTTGAGTTGATAATTTTTTTTAAAATTCATCTGCAACTCCTCCCCTAGACGACTTGCGAGTTGTTCATATTATTAGAGAATGCTGTACGTAATGTTATGATTTCTTTCTGAAATTCTGAAATTGGCTAATCCATATTGCTGTACATAATGTTATTATCTCTTTCTGAAATTGGCTAATCCATTAGGATTATCTCAGTCTGTTATCATCTTTTTATGAAAATGTGAAATTGGCTAAATATTTCGAAGTTGGTCAAATTTAATTTGTTTTGAAATTTCATCTGCAACTCCTTCACCCCTTAGATGGCTGGCCAGCCATCTATATTGATACATGATGTTCTCTATGGTGAAAAGATATAAATTTAAATTATACGCTGAAATTCAAAGGAGATTGGATCCTCATTCTTTCACATGAATAAATTTTGGAAGAAACAAGTAAACCATTTTATTTTATTCAGTATTGTTATTGAATATGAACCAGGACTCCAAAAATACCTTCATCATAAGGAAATTTTAAAATATTTATGAAATAACTGTCTTGTATTAAAAGTCCACTCATTAGATGCAAAAGGAGAATATTCACAGGTGGACACAGCAATAAGTTAATTCTGACCAAAATAATGATGACTTCATTATTCTTTTCATAAATGTCAACATCATTGGGAATATAACCTTACAATTTGCGATTGATAAAGAAATGACTAATAGGAACTAGTCATATTTTTCAGTGATATCTATGCATGAGACAACGACTTGATCTTTAAAAAATCACATTCATACTCATATTATTCATCCGAATTTATAACCTGTATGATGATATTTCATTTAATGCCTGTAGCTACACCTAGAAATATTTCATAGGACACTACACAATTTGTTTATAAATACATAACAGGCTACATATTTATGGGAGTAACGTCTTCACTGGATGCAATAAACCGTTAAACCTAGTAATCATCTATTTTATCGCATTGAGAAATGAGAACAAATGAATGAGATAACTAGGTGTCATAGCAGTTGTGTCATGATTAAATATATACCACTGATCACTGTTCCCTAACGTATTTTATATTAAAGCAATCAAAGATAAAGCGGCAGATTAGAGATAATGTAAACTTACCCAAATATATAAATAGTAATTTTTTGTCATACCGATTACACACAAAATCGAAGCACAGCAGTACAATGATAGGTGCGGTCGTCTCGCTCGTAGTCGATGGTGTCACTCACTCCACTAATCAAATAACTCGATCGAAATGAAGTTTTGTCAAACTTTTAAAAATTGTTACTTTACAGACTGGTTCTTGTCATTATTTACTTTTTGACTATTCTTTCTGCAGGTTTAATAATACCAAGAAAATGAATCATATTTACTACAAGTTACTAAATGGTAGGAGTGTAGGCGTGGTAATCTAGCTAGTTTTGGGCTTTCTGTGGGAGAGCGCCATCTACGGACTTATCCATGAAAAGCACTAATTCATCAATTCATTTTGCCATTGACTGCTTTAATTCAATCAATAAATATGAAAAAGGATATAATGTCTACTGCAAATGTAACTGTGAATCATAAAAATAATTTGGAGCTGCTAGAATCAAAGAGGAACACGATTGTCTGCTCAATATTGCAACGCAGTTCATACTTTGCAGAATTTTTTCTCTCATCAACTACTCATTACCCCCTTTGCCTTTACGCCATACCTACATTTTGATTTTCATACGTTCATAATTTGAAAACATTGTTTTGAGCTGGTTGCCTATGCAATTCTGTCTCTAGATGAATAATACATTGTAAAAATGAATCTGGAGGCATATATAAACTTCCAAATTGTTTGGCTACTGTATTACTATATGCCTTGAAATGACTATATACCTACATTTGTTTCATTCAGTGCCGTACTAGCCGTCGTGGCAAAATTTGTACTTCTCATGAATGTTTTCTTAAACATTTTCTCAAAAGATATCCACAAACATAGCCCAAGCTGTTGCCTTCTGGAGTGGCTAGAGTTCTATAATCATTTATCTCTACTCTCAACGGTTTATAGGGATTTTTTGGAACTTCCACAAGAATCTTCATTCTATTTATGTCTACATCTGTAATACTAGATAGAATCTCACTAGTTTCTTCTAGACAGTTCTTCCTTCTGCCTATGTGAAATACTGAAGAGTAAATGTGTTTTTGAAAGCTCTGGTAATTTGAATAGGAGTTGTGTTTTTTCCTTTTTTTGATATTACAGTTAATTTGCTGAAAAAATATAAAACAACGATAAAAATAAAAACAACAATAAAAATTATTTGGCGCTCCGGGGCAACTTCATTGATTCCAGTGGCGTATTTGCTTTTTCAGCTGCAGGAAAACCTGGAAAAACCTGCAGCACCATATCTCTGAAGATCTTGATCTGCCAATGTCCTCTCTCATAAAACAAAATGTAGGGTGTCTCCAGAGGCTCCAATAGATTCAATACATCGCCAGAACACTTCGTGACACGACTATCGTTAAACTTAAACAAGGCCGTTTCGTCTTTGACCAAGGCGTAATAATGACCAAATTCAACGCCAGAACCACAGTGAACTAGATTGAAATGTTCATCTATTTCGAAACTTCGAAAGAGTTTCTTGCTTCCGTCAGAGGTTGAGTCTTGTTTGAAGATCGTCAGTGTTATAATTAGATTGACTGGTGCCTCAGAAAATCAATTTGTTTTGATGTTCTAAAAAAAGGTTTATTGAAATCATTGACATCGTCAAATCGATTTGAATTTAAAATATCAAACACTTTATCCATTTTTTCAATGAATGTAGCCGTTCCTATTGCTGATGATGGTACCTGATTGAAACTGGCATAGGTATTCATCGCTGTAGCTATCGAATGACTGAAAACTTGACTGGCTAATTTAACCTTCATCCTTTGAAAGGTAGTTGGAAATAAATGAGAATCAGTAAGTTTGGGTGCTAGTCTATAACTTGCTCATTTTGAAACTAGACACAAATTTTTCACAAATACAAAACCACCACTTACAACGACTCACTCTCTAATAATATTCCATGCCTCAATTTGGCTCGCTTGGTAAACGCCTCAGATTCAGTCGGTTGCGCTGTAGTTCGGCCACGCATAAAATTCGAGGTGAGAAATCTTGACCCAAATATGGCGGAGCCAAATATATCAAGCATATTTGGAAAAAAATTAGTGCGAATAAAACACACCTAATAGCAGTGGCGTAACTATACCATCTGAGGCCGTGAGATTGGATGGGGCTCCAAGAAAAATCGTCACATTGTAATTTAATTTTAATAAATAAACTGAGATAGTTACCCAACACTAATATTATGTCCATTTTAGTTGAATATCTAATTTTCAAACGCATAAATATTACATATTTATATTACCATAATAGTTTAATGTTTATTCATTAATAAAATTCTTTTCTCCGAGCTTTCTGTTCCGCAAAAGTATCAGTAACATTATCAAAGCTTGTAGATCGAGCCATAGAATTTTTAATAGACAGAACAGCCAAGTTACGTAACCTGTTTTCTTCCATAGAGTTTCTTAAATAGGTTTTTATCATTTTAGTTTCGAAAATGATCTTTCAGCACTAGCTGTAGTCACAGGTATTGAAATAAATAGCAATAATACAGTACATAGGTACTTCAAGAAAGCTGCATGACATAAAATGATTCTTTATTATTAATAAAGTTTTTCAATACATATTGAATTCCCTATTTCATCTCGAAAGGTGGACTGAAAACTGAAAATTTCCCTGGAAAATGATTCAGATATTTTTTATATACAATGTGTCTCACTTCTCATGGAAACACCCCCGTATCTTCCGTAATATTCGAGGTAGAACGATGAAAATCTCAGGACTGATGGAAATGCTTAAAATGCACCTACCACCTGAATAGGGTTGGCCAAAGTGATATACACTGTCCGCCACTCGCGATGGAACACCCCATTTTTACGGTAAAACATATTAAAGGGCAAAATAGGCTCAAAATTCCTTCAGATTCGTGATCAGGACTACCAACTCACTACGATTACACTTTTTTCCTGAAAAAATTTCAGTCCTGAAAAATCCAAATTTGTCTCTCTTCTTATGGTAATTAGCCGTTTTATTTACGTTTCAAGCATCTGCAAACAAATGATAAATATGATTTCAAGAAAAAAGTATTCAAACTACTCTTCAGTTCATTCCAATGTATGTTCAATGTAAAGTTTGTTTAGAAATTTATTTCCTACATTATAGAATGTACCTATCTGGGGTAATTTTGTTAGGAGAGCCTCTTATTCTAACCATGAGCTCTAGATAATAGTCAAGTAGTCACTTGCTGTCATCTTGCTGAAATGTAACATCAGTTGAAAACTCACTTGGGTTTCTCAATTATTCGAACAGGCAGGCAGCAGAATTGGTCATATTTGAGTAAAAAATCATAATTTTTTGTTTGACTATAAATCATGTGAATGCAATTCTTCTAGTTTTTACCTATATTATTTTATCGCCCTTGAAAGATATACCTATAGTGCATATATACATAATGGTAATTGTTAATAAAACGTCAGTTATTTCTGTTTGTAAGATTAGATCTGGTTTCAATTTACTCTATAGATGAATTATATAAGATACTTCAAAAATAAGATAAATGAAATACCTTTAAAATACGTTTCAAAGGTCTCAATCCATTGGAAAATAATTTGAATATTCCTAAATAAGATATTTTTAAAACGTCATGTGTGAGATGTCATCTTTAGCGGTTAGCGTTTGAGAATGTTTTTATACCTATTACATTTTCTTATAACTGAGTCAGTCATTTGAGAAACACCTCTTGTCCAAAAAACATCGATTTTTACTTTTTCAATTATTTTGTTTAGTAACGCAAGTCTACGTACCCCACCTGTCCCGACTCTATAACCATGGCAAACCTAATAGAATATTTTCGTTATCAAAATTTGTCAGATTCTGATAAATTTTGTTTTTGTTTTTCTACAAGTTTTAGTTTGTAGACAAGTGGGATTTTTCAAACGACTACTTCATATACTGTATGCTTGTTGACGTGTTTCTAATGTTGTTAAAATTAATATTTATGAATTATTTTATTTTATTTTGTGCCATAGTCAGGACGATGCGACTGTCAGTGGCGATTAGTTTTGCTTCGACGCCACTGGGTTAGCGTTGGCTAGGGGCGTCTCCGAGCCACCCTTGATAGGGCGCAGAATCCATGCACCCCCTCGGAAATACAGATTGCTTCTGCTAGAAAATTCACGCTGTGTCCACCGCGTTACTATCAAATGTCGATATCATAAAATCTAATATTTTGTACCTATATTTTTTAACGAAAATATATCAAGAAAAGTACAACAACTAAATTTAGAATATCATTTAGCCGTAATCGAGTAGTTTGACCAAAACGTGTGATCGACCTCCAGTTGTATGAGTGTAGTCGAAATCAAGTGAGTGCAAAAAATACATAAACAAGCTATCATCATACACAGCCTCCTACGCGAGGTACTTATTGACAAGCGAGGAACCAGATACGGGTGACTATCGCGCGGTGATGACTGAACAGGATATCGACGATGTCGCGTTTCTCACAGGTACAAATCATAGAGTTACTGCCCCCATCACCCACTCCATATGTCAGTCATCACCACTCATTCATAACCGTGACTCAGGCGGTGTTGTAGGAAATGAAAATAATTCCGGGCAAGCCAAGAAAAGCCTCTACGAGAATCATGGAGTCGCTTCGTGTTCGCACAACAGGGCACTATGCATCGCAATCGTCGTCTTTGCACTTCTGTTCACCCTTGCTATCATTATTGCCTTTACCGGACCTCAGAGTGGTAGGTACCTACTTACTTAGATATCAATTTATTTACAAAGGCGGATTTTTGAATTATGACAGTTTGAAAAATTATAAGAGGATAGGAATATCAGGTATACAGGAATGTGGATAATATGTTAACTAGAAAAATATTCCCAAATATAAGACTNGTGGATCAAATATCTGGATTCAGCTATCATATAGCAGCAATTCAAAAATATTCGACACAATACAGTATGTTTCGCAAAGTCGAGGTACGTCAAACGTACATTTTTTTGTTCAATTCAATACCCAATATATCACAATATTTTTTGAATTTTCTCGTGATTTTATGGAATTTGATGAAGTATACTGAATGACTGAAAAGTTATCACCACTTCTGACTTCAGGTTAGCATGAATTGGACATATTCACGATGAAGAGTGAATTGAGAATAATGATAAAAATATTCATTCATTAGAAGGATATTCTAATGTAAAAATTAACTTAGATACATACAATGTTACCAGTGAAATCCGCATCATACGGATTTCTTTTAATAGTTTCATTCAAAATTTGACTTTGGCATCAATTCTCTCTTTTATCGAGAAGAATAATAACCAAAAATATTAGTCACACATTTTATTTTAATTCTTATTTCTTTCCTAGAATTTCAAAAGTGGGATTATTGCTCAAAATATCAAAAAGAGGTATGAGCAGACATTTTCATGAATACCATTTTTAGCACACAATACGTCTAAACCCCTACGAGTATTTCGGTCTTGGTATTTTTAATATTCCATCAAATTAATTTTTTCGCACAGATTGCAAATCTGTTCGAACAATGAATCTTGATTTAAGCAGAAATTGATGCCAAAGTCAAATTTCCAGTGAAGTTATTTAAAACAAAATCCATTTGTATACAAAAAATTTGGTTCATAATAATGATAACAAATGTGAATCGAAATGTGGCCCATTTTTAAGGAATTAACCTGACATTGGGAAATGTTCAGAGATACACTGTTTTTGGTTCCATTTGGTAATTTATGGAGATTATTTAAATATCTGAAAAACAATGAATTCTTACTTTGTTTTGGATTATATTCTTATAATGTGAATTATTATTTTTCCGTGTACAATGCGACTGAACACCATGATATTGAAAATCAAAATTTATATTGTTCGGCGTTAGGGTAAAATAAAATGGTCGATGAGCATCAGGTTCTTACGGAAGCGCAGAAAAGCCATATATTTTTATTATTTGTCTGGAAATTACGACTTTGAAACTCGAAACTTCTTCTCAAATTCTGAAATTCAAAGTAGAAATTTCTAGATAATGTCGAAAAATCGAGTTCAAATTCATAATTCCGAGATTAAAGTCAAAAATTCGACATTAAAGTCGAAATTTCGAGAATGAAGTCTAAATATCGAGTCAAGAGTCGTAATTTCGAGTTTAAAGACGAAATTTTGAGTTTATATTCGTAACTTCTAGTATAAAATCGAAATTTCGTAGTTTCGAGATTAAGTCGAAATATCGATTCAAAAGTGGAAATTTCGAAATTTAAGGGTGAAATTTTGAGTTTTGAAGTCATGATTTCCAAGGAACGAGTAATAAAAATATGTGGCCTTTCTGCACTTCCGTAGTTTCTGATTCCAAAACATTATTGGGAATGGAAATCTTCCTTCTGAGAATTAATCACATGCCCCGATTATTTGGTTTATGAAGTTATGAATCAATCAGAGGTATAGATGTGTATGTAATAGAGGCATAGTAATTGTAATGTGACTGTACATTTGATTTATATTTTGAGTAGAGAGGTTATTGAAATAGTTTGGAGAAAAATAATTTGAGATATAATTAAAAAATAAGTCTCATACTGGAATATTATCAAGCTGAAAGATTTAATTGGAGTAATTATTCCCATTTGTTGATCATCATTGGTGATCAACTGCTTCTAAATTCGTGAAATCAAAAAAGTTGAGAGAATAGTTCATCTTGAATATCCACCCTATATCAGCCTCTCAAATTAGGTTTCCCATAATTATTTCATTCTTTGTAAATTCCTGTAAAAATTTTCAATGATATCCAAATGAACGAAGCATTTCGATAAATGAAGGTGAACACATATATTTTGATCGCATACAAAGGTCTACAAAAATGAAAATGGAGCATGTACTTCTACAGTTGAAAAATGAAAATGAACTTTTCATAACTGATTAATCAAACATTTATAGCTGTTGCCCGTGACTTCCATCGCGTGAACTTTAGCTTTTGAGTTTTTCCAGATTTTCATTCAGCAAAAAGGTATCCTTCTTCCATAATAATATCGTTTCATAAACACAAAGTTTGAGCTTACTGAACAGTTTTTTTGCATTTCTTCTAACACATTTTTGACGCGATTCTTTGTATTGACATAGTTTTTTTTATTTATGAACCAATTTGACCAAATTAAATACTGAATATCAAGTGAAGCTAATTACTATACATTAGTGAAAACTTAAATGAAAATGAGTGATTAGTTCCACTTTTTCATAGGTATTGATATACCATATTGTTTTTGAATTACTATTATTCTCAATTAATTTTTGTACATATTTTACATTTCGAAAGTACTCACGTTGAGCTCTGATTTGGTTCCCAAATATTTCCACATACCTTGCAAAATTATAATTGGACTACTAACTACAGATTCTTCTGAGCTAAACAATTTCATTTTTTCATTTATTACCAAGTTTTAAAGGGGGTTGTTGACTTCAATAATCTGACAAATTCTTTGAATATATTCTTCTTTCAGGATTCGATATTATTCAGTATGATGCCATTTGGCGAGCTTTTTTGTCTTTCACTCCTCCATCTTTTTAAAAAAATTGGGCGAAACTTCAAATGAAGGAAGAAAGTAATCAAGTTCAAAGTAAACTCTCTACAAACATGTGTAGATCATGCATATAAGTTGGAAGTAGTACAAAAACAATATTGGAAATGAAGTAGTTCAAAAATTGTAGGGCAGATAATGTTTTCTATGCCGCACTCAATTATATTACGCGTTTCCAGATTTCAACGTGTTCTCGAACAATTACATATTTAAAAAAACTTATTGACCCTTTTTATAATGCTGGTTGAGTTGGACAAAATGGATTCCATAAACATTTTTTATATTTTCAACCTTGAGAAACAAAAATATGATTTATTTCAATTTTAACGGGTGCCTATCACTACGTCGAATTCTTACTACGTCGAATTCCCATCACGTCGAAAGCTGGCTTATCTTTCCCCTGCTGTTACCAAAATGCGAAAGTTGTCGAAATTCAAACTGATTTCACATAGCAGGAATTTGACGTAGTGAGAATTCGACGTGAGAAGAATAATTTGCGTAAGAGCAACGGGTGTCACTACGTAGTATTCTTATTACGTCGAAAGTTCAAAACGACGAAATCTCACTACGTCAAATTCTCATTGAGTCGAATTCCCGCCATGTAAAATCAATATCAGTTTCAACAACTTTCGTATTTTGGTGACTTTAGTGGAAAGAATGACTTTCGACGTAGTGAGATTCCGACGTATTAGGATTTCGACGTAGGTAGATTTCTACATAGTGAGGATTCGACGGAGAGATATTTTTCTGTTTTAACCAATAGCAGTATTTCCAGTTTTGTATTCAGTCTGTCTCACTATTTTTGAGACGAATAACGATTTTGCAGCAGGTTCTCAAACAATTCCTAAACTAAAAACTAATTGACTTTTTTATTATACCCGTTAACACGAACAATATTGATTCTATGGAAAATTTTGATATTTTCAACCTATTGAAAAAAAATATAATTCAATTGATTTATAGTAGGCTGTAGCATTTACATGAGGAAAATCATCCCAGACTCTTCAAGCTCTTTCAGCATTCAATTTTTGTAACTGTGAGGTAAATTATTTTCATTTCAGGTAGTTCATGAAATGGCGTCCTGAAACTCGGNGAAATTTCGAATATATCATTTGAGCTTAGAAATGTCCGAAAGAACAATAAAAAACTCTAGTAATAAGTAAATTTTGAGATTGCTTGATATTCCTATTCACTTCCAAAATATTACGGGTGGGAAATTTAAAGGACCCTTGTATAATGCTTGTTATTTCTCTTTGAAGTCTGAGTAGTGATAATTATAATTTACCTCTTGAACAGTAAAGTGCGAGTGAGGAAAAACCATTATCATTTGCAGTCCTATTGATTATGTCGTTCGCAACTTTCCATTGAACCTAGAGAATTATAGTCTACCTTTATCGATTTTACTCTGCTGCAGATTGTACCTGTGTCGGTGAGAAACCACCAAATTACGTCGATGAAACGACGAACATGACAAGAACTTTCGTACCTAGAGCAACAAATGGACAGATCTTCCCTTGGAACAATATACGTCTTCCTACCTCCTTGAAACCCTATCGCTATAACTTAACAATACATCCAAATTTGACCACGCTTGAAGTGAGAAGTAAGTATATCACACAGAACAAAACAAACATGTATTTTTTCATTATTTCTTTCATTTCAACTTTAATATACAGTGGCTATGTATTCGATATACCTATTAAGAAAAAACTTTTCTGTTAGCACATAAACCCACCCATTAAAATTAAATAACCCTCTAGTTGAAAGTCTTTCGTAGCAGCCCTATAGTCAATTTTTAAATTATTGAATAATTAAGTTCATTTTGAAAACCAAATTATTGAAATTGATTAGTAATATTTGAAGATTAATTTTGAGTAATTGAAGTTCAGTTGAAAGTACATCTAGTCGAATTGACCCACGTGTCATCAAGTTACCACACTCACATGGTTGGAAAAGGACTACCGGTGATGCAATACTTTTGAAACACGAACATAAATAACAACTGAACAAACAAGTCGACAGAATGTAATCGTATTTTGTCTACTCATTTAATTCAACCTTTACGCCTCGACTGAGTTATAAAGGGTGTTAATGGAATGCAAATTCCTATGGAGATGTATCATTATCCGGGTCTTCACGTCAAGTTGGTACAGCTCCAGCAGTCTGAAGAAATAGAGTATTTGTTATTTCCTGACATTTTCTTCCGATTATCAAAGCTGCCGGAGTGTTAATTTTGTGGAGTTCTTCACGAATATTACCTGTTGTCAGTGGTATTGTTCTACCCCCAGGAAGTATACGTCTCTTCGGCATCTACATGGTGCAGAATGCTTCAGTCGGCGAGCTGCACATCCTCTCTATTTCCTGTATTGCCCTTCTTTAAAATGAACTATTGCATATATGCCTTTCCCGAATTTCACCGTCCTCAAGGACTGCTGTTGATCCTTACCTACAAAATCGTGAAAAAAATCTTTATTTGATAACCCTTGAGTGGTTCAATGAATAACACACAGTGACACAAATACGTTATATTTCGGGAATAGCAAATAATAACATACATTTTTAATTGAAAATGGCGTTATTGTTTATAGAAATATTACCTTTCATATTCAATAGACTTTTGCATTCGTTCAAACCATTTGTCAAAGCAGTTTTTTCATTTCTTTTGAGACACCCCCAAAACATGGTTTTTGAACGCGTCAACTGCTTCTTCGGTGCTCGTAAATCGTTGACCATGCAGTTGAGTTTCGATTTTCGGGAACCAGAAGAAGTCATTGGGTGCCAAATCAGGATGGTATGGATGATGAGTCATGAAATCGATGTTTTGACTGCTCAAAAATTCATCTGTTTGATGAGTGTGTGAGAGCTCGCATAGTGATGATGGTGATTCGTCTTCTGTGTTTAGTTTTACGAATTTCTCCGAAGACTTACGGCAAACAAATGGTTGTGTACAAGTTAGAATTGACCGTTCTACGTTGCCCAAGCGGAACAGTGGCCACATGACCCATTAGGCCGAAGAAACAAGCGACCATTTGATTTGCTGTTGGATTTAGCTCATCTTGGAATACCCACACGGTCGACTGTTGTTTTGTGTCCGGCTCATACGCATATATCCATGATTCGTCACCTGTCATGATTTTATACACGTCTATTGAACCACCACGGTCGAACTTTTTGATTATTTTCTCACACCACTTAACGCAAGCCTCTTTTGAGCGATTAATGAATTATGGGATATTCAACGAAATTTTTTTTTCACATATAAGTGTTCACGCAAAATCGAATATATTGAAGCTGAACTAACGTGCAAGGATGCCTCTATTTCACAATATGTCACATGACGATCTTGTATTGACAATTCACACACTGCATCGATGTTTTGTGGCACAACAATCGATTATGGACGACCTTCACGGAATTCGTCGGCGACCGAACTACGACCACGATTGAATTCACTATACCAGTGATATATTGTGGTTTTTGATGGTGCTTTATCGCCATACAAAGAACTGAGTTCATCGACACATTCTTGTTGAGATAATCCACATCGAAAGTTGTGAAAAATAATCCAAAGGAAACCTTCTCTTGAAATTTCCATTTTTGGTCAAATTGATTTTCTTAACTCACTGTAAACAAAAAATAGCACTTGTACATCAAAACGTTGTGAGTAAGTTTATTTTAAAAAATGTCAATCTTCATTCTGGTTTTGCCACATTTTACCTACTGACATTAGTGTTGCCAGTTCCCGAAATGTAAATAGTACCCCATCGTGCATACATACAAAATATTATTTTGTTGCGATGCTGCAAACGCGGATTTGCATAAACCAATATGGTGCATCCGCGGAATATATACTTACTTATAAATGCGAAAGTCACTCTCTTAACACTCACTCATTCATCTCTGTTTCTCCGTACTGGTAAGTCCTAGGAAGCTAAAATCTACATGAGATCAGAGGCCCAATATTTCATTTGAAGCGTTGAAAACTGTAGATGGTCACATACATCCCACTTTCCAATCCGCGTACAAGGCTCTAGGTCTACTCGAAGATGATCGGCATTTGGATTCAGCTCTTGAAGAGGCAGCACTTTGTCAAACACCGCATATGATTCGAGAGCTTTTTGTTATCATTTTATTGTTCTGCCAGGTTTCCGACCCTCTATGTCTGTGGGAAAAATACAAAGAATACCTTTCTGAAG